GGGAGAGAATCTCCAGCAGACTCCCTATGGAACCTGATGTGGGGCTCCATCTCTCGACCCATGAGATCATAACCTGAGCCGAAATCATGAGTCAGATGCCTAACTAACTGAGCCACCCGCGTGTCCCTCTTTTTTTTTTTTTTTTTTTAATAAGTTAGATATTCTTGCTATTGCTTTCTTTCTTATTCTCTCTGTGTGTTACAAGCTTGTAAAGAGGCACTGGAGTACTTAATATGAAGAGGAAAATACATTAAGACATAGGTCACAATTAAGCTTTGATTTCCTCTCTGTTATTACAAAAAGCTACTGGGTAACTTAGAAAAAAAAAAAGTTGCATATTTTTCAAAGATACTATTCCAAAAAAGGGAAGAGGAAAAAACCAATGGACTATTTTTCAAAAAATTCTATGCTAAATCAGATAATCATTTTATACTAGCTACACACACACACACACACACACACACACACACAGTGGTGGGAAGCCTCAAAAGTTTGGGAAAACTATATTGAAAAAAAGCTGAGAAATGAGAAAAAAACCTAAGTCCCTTCATCCCCTGCTAACTTAGAAAGCATCATCGTTAATTTATTTTAGCAATGGATACACTGGTCCAGCTTTTTCTGGAGCACAGTTTGTGAAGCACCACGTGGATCTCAAAAATAGAGCCAATTATGTTACATCCCTTAGCTGCCCCTGCTAGTAAGATTAAATCCAAATTCCTTATCATGGGACTGGTGCCATTCAAAATTAGCCTTTCATAACCAGCCTTACCTGCTGACATTCCCAACCCCGCTTTCCAGTCCTGCCATCATTCAAACATCCTAACAGTATACTCTCAAGGATCTACCCCCTTGGCACAAACTATTTTCAGAAATGCTCTTTTCCTAAATGCTGGTGCAGTTCTTTTCTACCTTCAAGGTGTCACTCAAATATTACCTCTTTTATGAGGCCATTACCCTGAATTCCCAGGCAAAGTGACTTACTGTTCCTCTTTGTTCCCACAGTATCTTATGAGGTAGTACTTATCACACTGGATTTTAACTCTTGGTTTACACGAACTCTTCCTGAGGGCAGGTGCTATACTCTACTCTTCTTCAAAAACACCCAAATCCTGGTAGAGTCTGACAACACAGGGGGCTAAAAACTGTTATTCAATAAATAAATGTGGCTTGATGACTGGCTAGTTAGGAATCAGTGCTACCCTTCTAACTCCTTCCCTTAATTTCAACTGTATCAAATTGGTCTTACTGTGGAAACCACCAAAATGATTCCGTTTTCTAACAACAGAGTAAACCCCTTTGGGAATTCAAAACCCTATGGCTCTTTGTATTCCCAGAGCATACTCTGCACAGAACAAGTTTGCTGCTGAATGTGAAATAAGCTCCTACATCCATTCCCTCCTTTCAAGTTTTCCTGCAGAAAGGGATGCGTAAGGAAGGCACTGGTGGGATAGGACAAAGAACCTCAGGTTTCTTTTGGATGGGGAACTGTAAACTCGCCTTTAAAATTCCTTTTTATCCTGGAACAAGTTTCTCTGTATAAACAATGATTTAAAAACAAACAAAAAGCTTTTCTCAAGTTACTTCTCTACTGGACTATGGAGGGGCGGGCAAGGGGAGAGGAAGAACCTTAAATTATTCTTCAGACCTGACTTGTAACAATCGAAGTTCTGGGCAGTATTCATGAAGCCTTTGCAAGGTGAAATGGTGTGAACACTAATTTCAGAGATTCTACTGGACTGGCACATATAGCTACAAAAATTCCCCCATCTCAAAAGGTGCTGACCTCGGGACGCCTGGGTGGCACAGTCGGTTAAGCAACTGACTCTAGATTTCAGCTCAGGTCTTGATCTCAGTATCCTGAGATCAAGCCCTGCATTAGGCTCTGTGATCAGCACGAGTCTGCTTAAGACTCCCTCTCCCTCTGCCCCTCCCCTCCGTGCTCTCTCTCTCTCTCTCTAAAATAATCTTTTTAAAAAATGGTGCTGACCTAAGTAACTTTGGAAATGAGCAGACATCTTTAAGACTAAAGGTAAAAGGAACTGAACAGAAGCACTATACTCTAGTTAATAAAGTTGTTTCCTTCCCAGGTACAGGTTAACTATTCAGACACTGCTATGCATGTACACTGAAATGAAACAACTAAGTGGATGGGCAGACAGTGAGAGCCAGGTTTCTCACTGCTGGAGTAGGGAGTTTCATATAAGCAAGGGGAGGAAGGTAGAATGATCCATGTGGTAATGGCTTATGGACAATGGAGATACCAATATAAACTAATGTTTAACCTAACATACACACATATGTTACACATAGCAATATTACAATATATGTATACAGTTAGCATAAACTGTTGCTTATCAGCTGACATGGCCTGTAAGAAAATGACATTCCAGTAGCAACGAGCACCTCTAATGTCTAGATCTTAGAGTCTAATACCATTCTCCAATGAAAGAACAGGGCTCCGTGGAGCAATGGCTGATTCTACGACTGGGCAGGAGATATATAAGACAATGTACAAGTCTGGAGTATCTTATAGCGTCAGAAAGTAAGGAAGTATTAAAAACATATACATCCATACCCATGGTGATAGGGTATGTTAAAGAAACAGAGAAGCCAGTGAAAAGAGCTCCACGGCTTCCATGGCCAAAGCTGGAACAACTTCAGCACTACTGACTGACTGAATCAATGAATGAACAGATGAGGGGAAAGAGATGAATCATCCCCCATGGAAGAATTCCAGAGAGTTTATGTAGATACAGATACTCTGCTTCAAGGAAGGTGAGCAGAACTCTCCACTCCTTGGGTGTGGACTATGCATAGTGATTTCCTTCCTAAGTTATAGTAAAGGGGAAATAAAGAGTAACTTTACAGTGGAGAAACCTGACAAACACATGTACCCTGGTATGATGTGATGGAAACGGCACTTTACCTCTGGGATCTTTCTTCGAAAAACCCATAACCCTAGTAATCATGTGAAAAACATCAAACAAATTTGAATAGGGCGCATTCTACAAAATACCTGGGCACTATTCCTCAAAACTGTCAAGGTTATCAAAAATAAAGAAGTCTGAGAAAATCGAAAGGAGCCCTAAAGAGACATAACTAAATATAAACTAAATAAATTTTTTCCTGGAACAGGAAAAAAAAAGACATTAGATAAAAACCAAGGAAACAAGTAAGACTATGGACTTTAGGTAATAATAATACATCAATATTGATTTGTGAACTAAAACAAATGCACCATACTAATGTAAGATGCTAGTAATAGGGCAAACTGTGTGCACATTATATAGGAATTCTCTGTACTCATCTCGATTTTTTTGTAAATCTCAAACTGTTCTAAAAAATAAAATCAATTTTAAAAAATTTACCCCATCTCTCAACTCTTTAGACACAAAGTTAAAAATTATAGAAAAAAGGAATAAGCATGTTTTTAATTTCTCTACATCTTCTGCTAATTCAGTTCAAACACCTGGAGTCCCTATTCTGTTTCAGGATGAGGACCTTGGTCCCTGCAATGTTAAGGTGGGTATAAGAAGAGATCTTAGAGAATTAACTACAGTAAGAACATAAAGAGGATTTTATTAACAAACTGCTGAACCCCGCCAGGGGTGTAGAGCTCACACTGGTCTTTACGTGGACTCGGTGATTTTAGAACAGCGCCCAGATGGGAGCGGAAGGCATGTGAATGTGAACACATCTACCAGGAGAATGAGAGGAGCCAAATGCCCCGCAAGGGCACTTGCAGCCCTCTCCATCTCTGTCCCCTTTCTCCTGATAAGAGACCTGGAAGACTCAAAGTAAAGACCGCTGGGAATAGAAGCCAAACTATCAAAGAAAGCTAGTGCTCTCTCAGTCTTGTAATTCACATTGGTATCAGTTCTACCCTCCCCCCACCCCCCACTCCCTCCCACATCTGGTCAGTCCCAAGTTTCTCTCCTCAGAAAACATTCAGATCTGGATGCTGACATGAATGGGAGGCCGGGAAAAAAGGCACCTGAGGCCTGGATCCCGTCCCCCACATGCAAGTACTGACCGGCTGGCTTATTCGGTGACGGTGCTGTGTATCACAGGTAAAACCAGCAGGGTGCCCTTGGTCTTCAGCGGAAGGCAGAAGTGGCGTGTATGACCTGTGTTCATCAGGCTAAACCCAAACATCTCCAAGGCCTCCAGTTCCAGATCACTGGTTCACTACCCTTCTACAGCACAGAATCTACCAGATCTAAACCACAAATCAAAACTCATACCAGAACTGTGTACAAAAGCAGAAACCGAGAGATCTTAAAAGCAGCATTAGAAAAGCCGAACGCTTGAAGGAATGAGAGAAAGGGCTATCCAAGATAAAATCTAGATCATCAGCCTGACTCTAGGGCAAGAGAGAGGGTGACTGGCAGGCCCTCCCCCAGTCAGGGATAGACTTACTTCCACAGACACCCTTCTTCCTCTGATTTTACATTCAATATTTGGCAGGCAAATTCCCAGCAAAATTGGCTCAAGGAAGCTTCCCTTTAAGAAGAAATTTCTCAAAGTACAAGAGTCTCCTTCCTATGAGTCTGGTTTAGAAAAAAACGAGACCATTTTGCACAACCACTCCTAGATGCTGTATACCAAAGTCCTAGATCTTCAGATGCATGAGACTATCTTAGAATGTGGAGAAGGGGGCGCCTGGGTGGCTCAGTCGTTAAGCGTCTGCCTTCGGCTCAGGTCATGATCCCAGGGTCCTGGGATCGAGCCCC